TAAATTAATACGCGGAAATGACTGAATGGATTTGCATGAAATTTTGCAAGCAGAGAGCTTATGACCTACAGTGGAAAATAGGCGAATTTTTTGGAAGAGTTGCCACCTGTTAAAAAAGTTGTATTAACTTAATACGCGGAAACGACTAAACGGATTTGCATGAAATTTTGCACACAGATAGCTTATGACCTAGGTTAGAAAGTTAAGAGTTGCCACCTGTTAGAAATGTTTAATTTAATTAATACGCGGAAATGAGTGAACTGATTTGCATGGAAGTTTTCACACAGATAGCTTATGAGCTAGGTTGAAAAATAGGCTACTTTTTTAAGAGTTACCACCTGCTAAAAAAGTTTAATTAAATTAATACGCGGAAAAGTCTGAACGGATTTGCATGAAATTTTGCAAGCAGATAGCTTATGACCTACAGTGGAAAATAGGCTAATTTTTTGGAAGAGTTGCCACCTGCTAAAAAAGTTTTAACTAAATTAATACGCGGAAACGACTGAACAGATTTGCATGACATTTCGCACAGAGATAGCTTATGACCTATGTTGGAAAATAGGCTACTATTTTAAGAGTTATTACATATTAGGAAAGTTTAATTAAATTAATATGCGTAAATGACTGAACTGATTTGCATGAAAGTTTGCACACAGATAGCTTATGACCTAGACTGGAAAATAGGCTACTTTTTTAAGAATTGCCACATGTTTGAAAATGAAATTTTGTTCAAAGATCGTTTATGACCTGGATTGCAAAATATGCTACTTCCTTAACCGGGTTTCCGATCAGATCGAAATTTAGTACACTTACCTCGGATTTCGGAAGGATGGTCTTAGACTGAAAGTAAGTCCGATAACTCAAGGACCCTCCCATACAAATTGGAATTTTCATATTACATACATATCTCTGGAAGTATTTGTGTGAGAGAACTGAAACTTTGTATAGTGATATGTATGTGAAATCAATGATGGCATTAATCGATTGATGTTTTAATCAGTTAGTTAATTCGATTAATTCAATCTGATTACAGTTAATCATGATTAATTTTAATCTGACTAAACAGTTAATCGTAGCCGCGATTAAAAAATTAATTTTTAATCGTTAACTCTTAATTTGATCAAGTAGGTTTGGTGATTAATTAAGTTATGCTGGAATTTCCCTGTGCACACAAAGCAAGTTAATCCGGTATGGCTAAGTCGGGCTTCCTCATCAATCTAAGCAATTTGGTGTGCATTTTCATTAAGATATATACCAACAAATGTTTTACAAAACTAGGTTTGTAAAAGTTCCCAGTTTATGTATTACTAACAACAATAATTATAATTTTTTTATATTATGTGCTTTTTATAAACGTAAAACACAAAACAATTACTATAACTGGTGTTTGGTTTCAAACTCGGACAATCTAGACAAAAAAATCAGATTTTTTTTTTTAATTGGATTAACGATTAATGTTTTAAATTAATTAAACGTAATCGCAGCCAGCGATTAACGATTAAAAAAATGTTATCATTAATCGTGCAGTTGATTACGACTCATTAATTTTAATCGTCAAACGCGATTAACATTTTAATCGTTAATTTTTATTCGTTAATCAGATTAACAGTTTGCCAACACTGTGTAAAACCATGTTCATATTGACGGAGAAAAATGGACGTTTTTGGAAAAGAGGCGTAGCTCCTCACATCCTGACTGAAAGCTTCATATTGCGTATCTCTTCAAATGTTTGGGATAAAGCACTCAAGCTTGGTATGGAAATACATATGTATGTATGTATGTGAAACTAATACCATACTCATGGAGAAAAATGAGATGTGTATACAAAATTAATTCCATACTCATGGAGAAAAATTTGCGTTATTAGAAAAGGGGACATGGTTCTTCCCGTACAAATTTACTGTTTTATACTGCTTATCTCTAAAGGTGTTCAAGGTAGAGTACTGGGACTTGGTACTGGGGTATGTAAAATCAGTTCTAAATTCATGGAAGAAGATTAGGGTTATAAGAAAAAAGGGCGCGGCACTTCCAGTACAAATTTACTTTTTCTTACCACGTATCCCTGGAAGTGTTTGTGGAAGAATACTGGAACCTGGTATGGAGTTGTGAATGTAAAATGTATGAATTGCTCATGGAAAAAATGTGAGTTATTAAAAAAGGAGGCATGTCGCCTCCCATACATACTAAAAACTTCTTAATACATATCTCTGGAATAAATTTCATTAAATGGAAAAGGGAGAGCCGGGTTCGGCCTTATGACCTAAAGCTCTCTTGAGGCATTTGCTACAGTAATGAGAAGTGGTATTTTATCAAGGCCAGGTTACTAAATTTGAGTTGGAAATATTAAAACCCGCCGTGGCACCTTCAAGAAGGTTACACGTACACGCGTCGTATACCAGGAACCATTTTAAGGTAAACTTAGAGGGATTGATATCTTTCGTATGCCTAGCGCGCAGAGGAGATTTTATAATTTTATAGTTTTAAACGGCCTAAATACCTTAACTCGCTTAAAAAATAACGAGCTATAACGAAATGGGCACGGAAATAAAATCTAACATCATTAAGTTATTTTTCATATTTGTATGAAAGCGCGGGGTGAAACCCGCGGGTATAAGCTAGTATTTTATAAACACAAAAGATAGCGTTAGATAGCTTGTTTAAAGACCCTTCTACTGATATCCACATCAATGACATGGACTGAGTAGTTCGGCCTCAGTGGTAGTTTAAAAAATTGCCTTTTTTCGAATTTCAGGCAGCAGCCACGCCCACACAGGCATACGAATCAAAATATCCTGGAACAAAACCTTCTTAGTTTTTTGTGTACTTTAATTCCTGAAAGTTTGAAAAAAATTAAATGATGGTACGTACAGACGCCACATACATACCAAAGCATCTCGTAGTGGAGACACGAACCAAAACATATTTACCTCTATATCTTTCCAACTAGTGGCCGGAACTTAATATATATCGTTTGAAAGGTATTGGCCTATAGAATAACACTAAATATGTTGGGTGTGCCAACATGCCCCCTTAGACCGGAAAAAGCAAAAAAACCTTTTTTGTTTCCCAACACTTTAGCCTAATTTTTAAGAATCCGGTTAATCGTTTACGAAGCTTGAATATATTTTCTGGACACACTCCGCATGGCCTTTCCAACGATATATGAAACATGTCGATTAGACGTCTGGATAAAAACTTCCAAATCTCGTGTATATATAAGCGAGTCATTTCAGCATGCTACTGTTGCTGCTTTCGTCACTCGCGCGCACTGCCGTGCGCTGTGATAACATACTATATACATACATATCTAGTTTCAATATAAAAAAATTTATGTACACATCATTAATTGTGTATACATCAGAGTTGTGAAAAATGCATTAATTTTTTAATGCATAACATTTGAATGTTAATGTAAAAAAATAATGCATTATGTTTTGTAATTTAATGCAAATGATAAACTTAAATGCATTAATTTTGAAAATGTAATGCTTAATAAAATTTTAATGCATTTCTTTTGAAAAAAATAATGCTAATGAAATTTTTTTCATTAACTTTAATGTTAGCAAATTAATGTTAATGCAATAATTTATTGCATTAAAAATATAAAAAAGCAATAAAAAATCATTAACTCATTTTATTTTGAAGTAAAAATTTTCTGTTGACATTAAGAGTAATACAGTGAGGTCAGAAAAGGTACTGACGGAAGTAAGAGAAAGAAATTACTAGGTATTTCTGATACAAAAGCAATAATTATTTATATTTATTTCATTAACTATACCGACATTCTAAAACGATTACAAGTATTTACCGCAAGAAAAAGTAGAATGAAAATTTACATGTTTATGTATAACAAGGTAGCTTTAAATTATACACGATCCAATGCTGCACGAAAAATTTTAGGCAAACAAAATAACAATAACAACTAAAAATTTCTTCCATAATTGTTAATCAGACTTTTGAGAATGACTAATTTTTCGAAACTTGCATCTGATAAATTTTGACGTTTCGGCGTGTTAGCCATGGTGGCAAATGAAAGCAATCGCTCAACTGGAGCAGAGGATGGTAATGGTGTGTTATACTTCAGAAATAGTTTTTGTATAAGAGGAAAACTTTTCAATGTTTCCACCGTTGAAGTACCATCACTTAAAAATCCTGCAGATTCTAAAACAGAGCAAACTGTTTTATTAAACAAAAACAGGAAATAATAATTGTACCTACCGCACGAAAAATGCCCTCCAAAATCTAAAAAGCTGTGAGGTTTTTGTTCCGGTGTAATAGCGGTCTATAACGTCGGTTTCAAATTCTTTAAGCAAATTTAATAATAATAATAATAGATTGGCGCCTACACATATGTTAGTGTTTGGCGGAGCTTTTCCTCCTTAGCAAATTTAGAAAGTAGTTTTATCAGTCTCCCATTATCGAAATGGGGCGCCGTCGTTTGTAATCCCGAGAGAAATGTCATTTTTATGTCCGGACATGCGGTTGTAGCGATAATACAGGGGAATGATTCCGGCTTAAGAGTATAATACGTTTCAAATCTTTTGAATAGTACCTTTTCCATTTCACCACCTGCCTTGTTAAAGAGCTTGAGTTTTCCAGAACTGTTAAGTTTTTCGTATTTGACTTTTACAATTATTATGTTTGGCAAGAAATGCCCGAAATACATGCCTTCTTCAGATTGTAGGTAGTTTAAAGCGCCAGCAATTGGCTCCATGAAAATTAAGTATTCTTCTAAGTAATTTAACTCATCGGAACGAAATCGATAAATATTAAATTTTACGCACAGATCATCAAGCTGTGTCTTGTGAATCAATACATTTTTTATCGAGTTATAAAGGGAGTTCCACTGGCCTTGTTAACGCCGCCCCAAGGCACTCCTTAATGATTTCAGCAGACTTTGGCCAGTGACATTTTTTCCATAGACTTTCGCAACTAAAATTTGCAGATGTTAATACGTGGTTGTGGTAACCGCTTAATTTTTTTATTTTTCATAATGAATCTTACCGTGAAATAGCTTCAATATGCTTATTGTAAAGAAATGGTTCTTTCTTCACTATTTTTATAAAGTCCGAGGACGATATCAAATTTAGTGTGTGACTAGCACATTTAAAATGGTGAGGTAACTGTACGTCTACGTTTTCAATAACAGGAAACTCTAGTTCCTCAGCTGCATCGCCATTATTGTTAGTATCGTCATTTTCAGATGGTATGCTCTCTTAAGATTAGAATAAACTATATTGCTACAAAGTTATTAATCATTTACACTTACGTACCTTCTTTTATACCAAACTCCCGAAAGGCTTTCAAAAAATTGGAAGCGTTTTCGGTTATAGTGCTCACAATATTTGTATGATTTAAGTTGAACTCATCGTTTATGTCCACGATTATACTTGCAATTTTGTCAAAAGTGTGAGCCCCTTGAAAATCTTGTGCAAGCCAAGGCAGCAGATTCTCTCTTTAAATTTTCATTGAGCCCACACCCAAAAAAGGATCGGTGTTTTGCAGACCATATATCTGCTGTAGTACAAAAATATTTTACGTTTGCAATTTTTGTTTTTAAAATTCGCATGCTACTTTGGTACTCTCCGTGCAACAAATCAGCTATCACTCGTCTATTTGGCACCTTGTAGCTTGTCCCCTCAAAAATCTCTATAAACTCTCTATTCTCGACAATGGACAGGGGTGAGATCGTGCTGGCGATGAAAGCAAGAACTTTTTTATTAAATGTATTTTGCTTATTTGACACCTTGCAAATTGAACTAGAGCTGTTTTTTTGAGCTTTATATTCCAAAAATTCATGAAAACTTTCGATATGCAGAAGTTTTAAATGCGTGATAAAGTTAGAACTGATTCGAAAAGTTCCTTTTATTTTCTTTTTACATTTCAAGCAAGATGCGATTAGAGAACCATTTTCACTCTTAAAAAAATTTATTTTAATTAAATCATACAACAGAAAATAGTTTAGTATACCTTTTGATATACTTTGAAAAACTTTCCACTTGTGAAAAGTATCCTGTTGCCGAAAGTCATTGTGTTATCCGTGTTATCACTGCAACTGCTTGAAAAAAATAAAATAATTTTTACTAATTCAAATTACACAAAAGCAAAGAAAAATGTTGTTTTATTTAGAGTGACCTTTAACTTTGACTTTTTTTTACTTTCCTGGAAATAATTCTAGTTTCTGGCGCACCATAAGTAGGTTTCACATGTACTCTACCAGTATTTTCATCATTGTAATCTGAATCCATAAAATTGTCACATAAATCACTAGCGCTTTCCATTTTTCGTCCGAGATTCACGCAAAGCTTACACGAGTGTTAACAATCAACAAAAATTATTAACTGATCAGTTTATTGAAACAAGATTTTATTTTTTTTTCAATATGCTTTTGATTGAATAATTATTATATCTAAGAACGAGATCAATATACTACCAAATTTCGAATCGCAATATGCATAGTAATAATTGAACAAGTACCTTTCAATGACACAGGGAAACGATTAAAAAAAGACAGAGCCTGAGTCAACTTTTTAATTTGTGTTAAAGCCTATTCTCTAACTAAAAATCAAGCTACTAATGGATGGATAAATAATAAAGAAATGAATGGTCAAATGAAAATGTGCGAGGATTTTTTTGAATAAAATATGAGCAGGGAAGAATGTTACTCATAGGCCATTTCAATATGAGTAACATTCTTATGAGATTAAGTGCAAAGACTTTTTTTAAAGCTGAATAACGTTAAATTGAAAATATCTAGAAAGCTTGTCTCATAGTAAAAAATTAACTCCATTTTCAGAATCAACGAGCGATTCTACATAGGAATGGGATAGGGACATCGAGGGACCAAAAAAACCCGATTTATAGTCCAGTATAATTATACGCGATTAAACAATCACTACTCACATTGAAGACCTCACCATGTACCTAGGTAGAAGAAACAATGAGACGTATGCATAAAAACTAAGCATTTGTTTTTCTTAATTTCATACCTTTCACTTAAATTTATTTGAACAAATCGACTAAAGGGTCAAAAATTGTAAGAAAAAGCATTTGCTTAGGTTTTATGCATGCGGCCCATTATCAATTAAACTGCTTTGTATTTCGTATACGTATGTAATTAACTGCATGGCTCCTTACTAACACACAACGAATTACAATATTTATCGTATTAGCTATGAAAAATATCCTGAGTACAACTTAGTGGTTTCTTTTAATGCAAACGGGTAAAACGATTATTTATTTTAATGGATTAAAATTTTCCATTAGCATTAGGTTTGGATAATTTAATAAAAAAAAAAATTCATTAGCATTATTTTTCAAGAATTAATGCATTAAAATTTTATTAATCATTAAATATTCAAAATTAATGCATTTGCATTTTTTTGGCATTAAATTTTAAAACTTTAAGACATTAATTTTTACATTAACATAATTGCCTCAATGTAACATTAATGCATTAAAAATTTAATGCATTTTTCACAACTCTGGTATACATATCTAAGTCAATATATGTGATATACATGTACATACATCTACATATCGTCATTTAAATACAAAACCGTGTATCAATAAAATGCAAAACCGCGTATAGAGATAATGCAAACCCACGTATGCGAGGTGGCATAAATTATTTTCTAGAGAGTAAAAAAACTCATATTTCAAAATGGTTATATTTTTGTAAAAAGCAATCGCATTTTTGGCTAGTATATTTCAGGAAGAATGGATAAGGATTGAGCCAAGAACTTGTGTGAGCGAATCCAATTTTTAGCAGTAAATGTCAGTTACGCGGTTTTGTACTTTAAGCGACGATATGTATGTTAACAGGAACGCAGCAATCTAATACACGGGTGGAGCAGGAACGCAGCACAGCAGAAGCGTACAAAAAAATCTGCAAATAAATGGTTTTTTAGGTTTTTAACAAACAAAAACCTGGTTTCAACTTACTTCAACGTGTCTAAAACACAACGCACACACTAATGCAAAGGCGCAACAGGAATGCAACACTATAAAACACGGGCGGAGCAATACACAGGCGGAGCGGGAACGCAGCACAGCAGAATCGTCCGAAAAATCTGCGAATAAATAGTTCATTAGGTTTTGAAATAACAAAGAGCTCTTAATCACAGTACCAGCACAGGTCGGTCAGGAAAACACCAAGGAAATGACGTAATAAATGCAAAATTATAATCTACTTGTAAAATAATTCGGTTTTATTACAATACTTACCAAATTTCACGCAATTGGAAAATAAATGTAGCGAATAAGAACGAAACGAACAACGAAAATTTAATCAATGTAGCTTGTTTTGAATTTTTTTCTAATATTTTGGGAAATATTCGGTGAAAATAGCAAAGAAATAACACAGTTTCTCCTAAGGTAGTTCAAGATGGCCGATTAGAGCGAGAAGTTGCCAGCGTATAACACCTTTCATTATTGCATCATGCAAAATTTTAAAAATTCAGTGAATTCAAAAACTGATAGGCCTACTTAAATAACATAATACTTCAAACTTAGCACACAGCTAAAATTTCAAACTCAAGTGAAATTTTACACACTTTTTCCATGAATTAAAATTTTCAAAAGCATCCATTCATTAGAATTGTCCCCAGCTTCTCGAAGTCACTTCGAGTTATATATACGCGCTCCGCAAGTAAGTTTTCGAGTTTCTTTGATATACGCTCACAGTTTAAACTTTGCTCGAGTTTTCCCCAATTTTCACTACCTGGGCCCGCCACTGGGCGGACGGATATATTGAGAATCCCAACGGAAAATTCTTAAAGCAAAAAGTAGGAATTGTTTTTGAATTGATTAGATATATCTTGTCTGAGTAAATTTGATACCTTGGATTCCAAACCACCGAACCGTATTCCAGAATCGGTCTAACTAAAGTTGTAAACAGGTGAAGTATCAAGAGCGTTTTCTTGATTAAATAAAAAATTGCGGGGGTGAATAATCGCAAAAAAAACACGCGTGTTGTCTCGCTGTTCAACTACACAGCCCAAAAACTTTATTTTTCTCTCTATCAGTTTGCGAAAAAAGGGCAAAAGAAGAAACCACAATGACAGGTAGCGGGAGTACACGTATAAGAGCAAAATATTAAACCTTAAGTTAACAATGCTTTTTCAGCAAGAGCTAGATATACATATAACCTTAACCCTTATAAATGTAAGTTAGACAATGTTGATATGACCTAAATAATGTGCATCTGACCCTACATCCCGGCCCCGTTGAAAGTACGTAGAACTTTCAAGTAACTGGTAATAGCGCTATCTTATGTATGGGGCGGCGGATAACTCCCTTTGCAGTGCGAACATCAGCCACGCGCACTCGATCGTCCTCTCCACGTATGACTCTTTCGATACGACCTAGCATCCAACACTGCGGTGGTAAATTGTCGTCATGCACGATAACCATCGCTCCCACACACACATTTGGGGATGGCTTGGTCCAGTTACTACGCACCTGCAGCTCATTGATATACTCCAGCGACCATCGACGCCAAAGTTGTTGTTTGATCGCGCCCACTCTTCGCCATCGTTCTAACTTACCCAGCTCTGTGACGGGTGTCTCGGGCAATGCACGTAATGAGTCGCCAATGAGGAAGTGGCCCGGGGTGAGTGCGGCTAGGTCATTCGGGTCTGAAGAGAGTGGTGACAAAGGGCGAGAATTCAGAATCGCCTCCACCTCAGCTGTGACAGTTGTAAGCTCCTCGAATGTTAAACGAGCGTTCATAAGAGTGCGGTTGATAAGTCCCTTGACGCTCTTAACTGCAGCCTCCCACAAGCCGCCGAAATGGGGGGCTCTGGGAGGGATGAAGTGGAAGTTGATGAACTCACGTACACAAAATTTGTTGATCGATTTGATTGTGTCATCCTTAAACAAAAATTGCTTGAGGGCCTCTAATTGGTTGCTGGCTCCAACGAAATTGGTAGCATTATCGCAGAAGATATCGGACGGTAGTCCACGCCTGGCTACCAGCCGTTTCAGGGCGGCGATAAATGCATCGGACGACAAGTCTGACACAACTTCAACGTACACTGCCTTCGTCGCGAAGCACACGAAAATTGCGATGTAGCTTTTGTAGGGAACCTTGCCTCGAAGGCGTAGGTACGTATTGACTGGACCGCAGAAATCCACTCCGCATCTTGCAAATGGTCTTGATGGGGTAAGTCGTTCGACGGGAAGCTGACCCATTATTTGCCCTTCCAGCTTTGGCCGATAACGAACGCAGTGCACGCAAGATCGGACGACACGGCGAGCTAAATCCCGTGCATTGATGATCCAAAAGCGTAGGCGTATGAGTGCAACTAATGTCTTTGGACCCGCATGGTAATTTTGGCGATGAACGAACTGCACGTACTGGCGGACAAAGTCATCCTTGCCTGGAAGTAGTATCGGGTGCTTCTGTGTATACAGAATATTTGCCATCTCCAATCGACCTCCAACTTTCATCAGCATGAACCCGTCAGTTATCTGCAAAAAAAGGATTTAAAGATTTAAGATTACTACAGACCTGTTGGCCTTTGCGAAGTGCTTTGATGTCATCGGAATAGTGCCTTATTTGCAGGTTTCAAATGATGCAATGCAAAGCATGTAACAGCTCTTGTGGTGACGGCGACAATGTATCGAACGAACCCAATTTTCTACTTAAGTTGCTGAACCTAAACATCCAGGCTACGATTTGCAAGCATCGGCTGTGCGAGCTAATTTTATACACTGCTTCGAGTAGGTCGTTAGTGGCATTAACAGTAGCGAAAGCCGATTTACGTTTCTCTAAGTTCACTATATCTTGATCAATATCACCTCGATGGTGCGTCGGCCACTCGTCTTGGTGGCGTTGCAGGTATGCCTGCCCTTCGAACCATATGGACTGCTGCAGCTCACTCACTGAGCACCCCCTGGAAAGCAGATCAGCTGGATTATAGTGCGTTGAAACGTATTTCCATTCGCAACAAGATGTTTTTTGTTGTATTTCAGAAATACGATTTCCTACGAACGTAGATAGTGCGGCGGAATGCTTTTGAATCCAGTGTAGAACGATTTGTGAATCGCTCCATAGATACGTTGTATATTGGGTATCGCCGAAATTCACCTTTATTTTAGCGTAAAGTTGTGACAGCAAATGAGCACCGCATAATTCCAATTTGGGCAATGACAGTTTCCTCGTTGGGGCGACTCTCGACTTGGATGTAATCAACGTGACCTTGACTTCACCGCTAGGGTCAACTGTGCGTGCATATATACAGCATCCATAAGCCCTAATTGAGGCATCACAGAAGCCGTGCAACTGAAGTCTCTGAACGCTGGGTTGAAGGCAATAGCGCGGTATAGTTAGCGATTCCAACGATGAAAGCGATGAGAGGAACGATGTCCATGCGGTGTGAATGTTGTGCGGAACTGACTCATCCCACTGTAATTTTAGCAACCAAAGCTCTTGTATAAGTATTTTTGCAAGTATAGTGATAGGTGACACCAAGCCCAACGGGTCAAAGAGCGACGAAGCAATTGATAGTATAGACGGCTTCGTGACAGCATGTGATGTGCGCTTGAGTACAAATGCAAACATAAAGACGTCTTCTCGTTGATCCCACCTTAAGCCCAGAGTGCTGGTTACTGAATCGTCTTCTAAGTTAAGATCTTTAATCGTACAGTCATTAACAAACTCGCTATAGTTCGAGTGCCATTTCGCTAGCTCAAATCTACCACGATGAAGTATCTCAATTACCTCCGTTTTGATTTGATGAAGGCATTCCAACGTGTTAGCTCCACAAATGAAATCATCAACGTAGAAGGATGATTTTATAGCCTCGGCTCCTACCTTGAACTCGTCCATGCATTGCTCAGCTAAGTATTGCATGCTACGTATAGCGAGATATGGCGCGGTAGCAGTCCCATAAGTGACTGTATTCAGTTCAAATGTGCGTAATGGTTGATCGGGTGTACTTCTCCAAAGTATATATTGAAACTTGCGATCATGGGGGTCGACAAGAATCTGTCTGAACATCTTGACGACATCGGCGGTAATTGCATAACGATATGTACGGAAGCGTAGAAGTAACGTGTAAAAGTCGGGCTGTATGGTCGGTCCGACCATTAGTAAATCGTTCAGACCTTTGTGTCGTTGTCTGACAAGAGGCATCGAAAACCACTCTTAATTTCGTAGTGGTACTGTTCGGCTTGAGTACGCAGTGGTGCGGTATGTAAAAATGTGGGACATCCAACTTCGGTGTTGTCACCAAGCTCATATGGCCCAACTGTTCGTACTCTAAAATAAAATCTGCGTATTGCCTTTTCACATCTGATGTGCGGCTCAAGCGGTGCTCAAGAGCTTCAAAACGTTTACGGGCAATTTCATACGAGTGACCTAACAAACCAATATCATCTTTGAATGGGAGGCGAACTACCACTCGGCCATCAGGTTGTCGGTGAACGGTGTTTTTGAAAGCCTCTTCACAACTGCGCTGCTCTGGAGTGTAAATGTCAACAGAAGTGTTAACCTCTTCAATGCGCCACAGGCGTTCTATGTTGTTGTTGATGACTTCGTCCATGGAAATCGAGTAACTGTGTGATGTGGTGGAGCCGGTTTGGCAACGGCCCGAAACTACCCATCCAAGGAGCGTCTTCTGCAACACTGGCATATTTACACCAAGCCTGACTTGGCCAATGGATAAGATGTCGAAAAATGCTTCTGTCCCTAACAGCAAATCAATAGGACGAGCTTAGTTGAACCCTTCGTCGGCCAACGGAGTATTTTGAGGCAGCTTCCATGATGAGATATCAATTTCTGTGTCTGGATGATATGCAACATTCGAAGTAACACAGAAATCTAGCGGTAGTTCGAATTCTCCAAAACGTGACTTGATTGTTGTAGACGTTCGATGTTTTATCTGAGTCTGGGATTCTCCAATGCTGCGAATTTCCATATGGCTTCGTTTGCGAGGTAATCGGAGAACCTGTGCGAATTGAACCGATACGAAATTGACTTGTGAACAAGAGTCTAGGAGCGCACGACCAATTTTATAACAGCCTGACGCATCCTTGACCAGAACCAAAGCTGTGGCTAAAATTATTCGATTCAAGCCGGTGTGAGTGTGAACAGCTGCTTCTGAGTTCTTCTGTGGTACTTCAGGGAGTTGCGGAGTTGACTGCGGTGAAGACGAATACATACCAGCTGAATCACGATGCAATAGTGTATGATGGGAGCGAGAACACGATCGACACCTGTGTGTGGATGGGCATTTCGCAGCCTGATGACGCTGATTGAGTGTAGCACCAACGATTTGAGGACACCTGTAAGTTCTGTGCTCCGTGCTAGCGCATGAATGACACGTTTGCGATGTGCAGTTGAAAGTCAACCCTTGGCGCTGGTGTTTTTGGTTTCGTGGCTTACCAATAGCTTGCTGACTCGCGCTACTATCGGTACCGGGCTTACTTATTGACTCCAAGATTTGGCAATGTCGTTCGACAACCGAAACGCAGGATGTCCATGTAGGAAGATCGCTGAAGTTCAAATGCTCATTCCATTTCTTTTTGGTGTCTTGATCCACCCTTTCCATAACGATGGAGATGAGCATAGCCTCAGCAATTTGCGATGCATTACCCAGTGACAATAATGAATTGTACAAGGCTGATGAGTTGTCGATCAGGCTACGAAGCTGTTTCGCATTTGACCTTGAAACACTAGGTAAAGTAAAAAGCGAATTTATGTTGTCCAAGAATACGAGCGTTGGATTATCGTAGCGGGCCTTGAGGCGTTCCAGCGCCTTTGAATAATTTTCCGAAGTGATTTGAAAAGCCTTGACAGTTTCTAAGGCCGGGCCACGTAAGCAATTGATTAGTTGATTGAACTTTTCGATGGATGACAAAGTAGACTGCTTATCAACGACTAACTTAAACGATGTTATAAAGTTTTTATAGTCGGAGTATTTTCCATCAAAAACTGGTAGTGACAGACGTGGCAGCTTCATAGAAGTTGAGTGAGAAGCGCAATGAACTGAGTCAGCAACAGTCAAATTGTGGGAATCTGAACCTAGCTGCTCATTAATGCACACCTTGATAGCGACCTACGTATCTTCTATTTCTCCTCTGGTCTCACGCTCTGCTTCGTCTGGATCCAGCTGCTCAATTTCGGTCTGAACTGTCATAACTTGCTTAAAGTAGGCCTCTAATATAGCCAAACGACAATTCAATTCAGCGGATGAAATTGCAAGTTTTGTGTCGACAGAATTGCGAATGCGCGATATGTTTCGACGCAGATTAGCGCGCTGCTGTTTAAGTTGCTCCAAATTGGGCATGGTTATGAGATAGCAAATCTATTGCCCGCTTCTCAGATTTATGGGCTGTACAAAATTTAGCTCTAAGTATATTTTATTTGGCGGGACCTTTTGCGAGCCCAATTCTACTATATCGGCTTGGCTTTGAAATACTGCCAACAATAACAACAACGCTTGCAAGAGAAGTAGTGTGAGACTACCTTGTATGTACTGTATGTGCTCGCAATATCAAATAACGTTGCCTTGCAAGGTGACCTGATATGAAAGAACCGCTAACAACAACGCTCCTGTAGCGAAATAGTTAGCAACTACAAAGCTCCTATAGCAATGTGTTTGAAACGGGATTGCGCGGGATTGAGACTCCGGCAGCCTTACTATGTCGAAAGATGTATGCTTTCGGTGTACCAGGTACCGATGGATACACAAGCTTCCTTATGCACCGTGCGGCCTGCGTTTTTGGATAAGCAGCCCAAAATGTCGAAAATATATTTGTTACGGTAGGAAACTCCTTTGATGCCGTGAATGTTGAGCTACGTTTTAGAAACGGTAGCCGAGAATGCTAAGTTGACTTTTCGCGAAAGTGCGAGATTTCACGATATTTTATCTTTAAATTATCACAGGCCCCACGTTGGGCGCCAAAATGAAGTATCAAGAGCGTTTTCTTGATTAAATAAAAAATTGCGGGGGTGAATAATCGCAAATAAAACACGCGTGTTGTCTCGCTGTTCAACTACATAGCCCAAAAACTTTATTTTTCTCTCCATCAGTTTGCGAAAAAAGGGCAAAAGAAGAAACCACAATGACAGGTAGCGGGAGTACACGTATAAGAGCAAAATATTAAACCTTAAGTTAACAATGCTTTTTCAGCAAGAGCTAGATATACATATACCCTTAACCCTTATAAATGTAAGTTAGACAATGTTGATATGACCTAAATAATGTGCATCTGACCCAACAACAGGGTTTTAGTGATATAAGGGTCACTAAATTCTTTTCACCATCGTTTCACAAATGCAAGTACAACTTAAGCCTTGTTGACTGTCACATTAATGTGAAGATTAAAATTAAGTTTCGGATCCATTGTGATACCAAGGTCCACAAAATTATATACCTGTTCCAAATTATGATTATCTATTGTATAAGAAAGTGGCTGAACAGCTCTTCGCGAGAAGCACATTACTTAGCACCAGTTAGCCTTGCTGTTTAAGTCTGCTTGTAGCAAATGCTTTTCTTTGATTGATAGGTACGATTTCACATCATCTGCGTACATTAAAATTTTTGAAAATTTTATATCTGTAGAAATATCGTTTATAAAAAGCAAGAACAGAATCGGTCCTAGGTGGCTACCTTGCAGGACTCTTGAAGTAACACCAATGACGTCAGGAATAGTACTTTTAAACATAACCCTTTGCGATCTACCATAGAGTTATGAAGAGATGCAACGTAGAAAATTAGTTTAAAGACCAAGAAGACCAAGTTTATAGATGAGTAAGGAGTGACATACTTTGTCAAATGCTGTACTGAAGCCGGTATATATAACATTCACATTTTTGTTATCACTAAACGCTTTTGAGATATAGGTTGTGAGCTCAAGTAAATTTGTTGAAGTTAATTTGCCTTTGCGAAACCCATGTTGACAGTATTTATTTATTTATTTATTTATTTAATTCTTACAGCTTAATTAAGCCTAGCTTAAACTTATATGCATATACATATTTATGTATATTTAGGATCTATAAATTAAAGCCTAGACAAAGTATAAAGTATAGGCCATTTATGTGGACACCAACTGCAGTGAAAAACAATGAGGCATACTTCCAAAACAAACCATTACAATGATTGCACTATTTGGCTGCGGTTGAGCCACCGCGTATGCATGCAAAGTGCGAAACAAGCATCTTAATAGCGATTCACAGATTTGATCTAGCGCTGCGTTTTGTGATGAGCCTCGGCTGCTTTTCGGATGCGTGGGGAAGGGTATATGTTGGCGAAATGCAACAGTATACTTGGTGCGTATGCATTGCGATTGAAAGTCTGGAAGATTGCCCATGCATCACTAAATAGGAAGGATCCTACAATAATTATAAAATTTTTGTTTAAATTCATTCATATTGCTTGATTTAACATCTTTTGGTAATTCATTAAAGCATCTTTATCCTTTATAATACAAGTTACATTTATACCTTCTACTCAAGTATCTGCCGGTTCTCTGCGTAAAGTATATTTTTTTTTGCGATCTTGCCTACAGTATAATCAATGTGTTCGTTAAAGACTAGTTTATCATCGATCGTTATTCCTAGGTATTTGAATGTAACGGGTGATTTTTTAAGAGCTTGATACCTTTTTTTTTAAAAAAAAACGCATAAAATTTGCAAAATCTCATCGGTTCTTTATTTGAAACGTTAGATTGGTCCATGACATTTACTTTTTGAAGATAATTTCATTTAAATGTTGACCGCGGCTGCGTCTTAGGTGGTCCATTCGGAAAGTCCAATTTTGGGCAACTTTTTCGAGCATTTCGGCCGGAATAGCCCGAATTTCTTCGGAAATGTTGTCTTCCAAAGCTGGAATAGTTGCTGGCTTATTTCTGTAGACTTTAGACTTGACGTAGCCCCACAAAAAATAGTCTAAAGGCGTCAAATCGCATGATCTTGGTGGCCAACTTACCGGTCCATTTCTTGAGATGAATTGTTCTCCGAAGTTTTCCCTCAAAATGGCCATAGAATCGCGAGCTGTGTGGCATGTAGCGCCATCTTGTTGAAACCACATGTCAACCAAGTTCAGTTCTTCCATTTTTGGCAACAAAAAGTTTGTTAGCATCGAACGATAGCGATCGCCATTCACCGTAACGTTGCGTCCAACAGCATCTTTGAAAAAATACGGTCCAATGATTCCACCAGCGTACAAACCACACCAAACAGTGCATTTTTCGGGATGCATGGGCAGTTCTTGAACGGCTTCTGGTTGCTCTTCACTCCAAATGCGGCAATTTTGCTTATTTACGAAGCCATTCAACCAGAAATGAGCCTCATCGCTGAACAAAATTTGTCGATAAAAAAGCGGATTTTCTGCCAACTTTTCTAGGTAATAAAATTCAATGATTTGCAAGCGTTGCTCGTTAGTAAGTCTATTCATGATGAAATGTCAAAGCATACTGAGCATCTTTCTCTTTGACACCATGTCTGAAATCCCACGTGATCTGTCAAATACTAATGCATGAAAATCCTAACCTCAAAAAAATCACCCATTATTAACTTTTTCCAGTGCTTCGTTGTTTATATTTAGAGTTAGCAACTCACTGTTCTCAAAATTTCGCCTTGATATAACCATAAACTTAGTTTTATTGACATTCAATTTAAGTCTGTTCAAACATAACCAATCGTATACTTTATTTAAGTCATCTTGCAATTTAGAGGCTATTTCAGCTATATTTTCTCCACTTAGCATAAGCAACGTATCATCAGCAAATAACTTAATATCGCAATACTTTTTGCAATAAATAATGTCATTAATATATATATTGAACAAAATTGGAGCTAGCACAGATCCTTGAGGCAGTCCGACAGATACACTTCTTTTATCGGATATTGATGATCCAATCGCAGTTCTTTGATATCGATTCGTAATGAAGTTTTCAAACCACTTTAGTTCGATACCATTTTCGCCCAAGAACGATAGAATACAAGATTGCGCATTCCCGCAGAATGACATTTGTGGCAACGGGTAAACAAATAATATGGCGAAGAACAATGAGTTGACAGTTGTGAATTTGCAGTGAGAAAACGTGTTTTCTTCTCGATTCACCAATTTCTCAAGCCATCTTTGAATATAGCAAATTAAGCACAACGTTAACAAAAAATATACAACCACTCTTGAAATGTGTTCAAAAGAATAGGTCTTATTAATTAACTATTTAGAATTTTTGTGTTTGTATTGCAGGTGCAGAAAAAGTGGTCGATACTTGCTTACCTCCGATTTTAATTTGTAATTTGTGGTATTTCAACGTTTTCAACTTAACATGTCGTGTTTAAAAGTGGTCCGTAAAGTGCTTCATGCATATTACGCTGGGGTCTAAATTGTATGGCTTCTCCTGCCAGCAGAACTCTACCCACTTTCTGGCCAAGCCGTCGTCGCGGGGAAACAAAAAAAAAAACTGCATTTGGGGGCTTTACCCCTACGGCTGCAGCAATTCAACACACGACACGACATTTTTATAAAGTTTTTATTACAAATAAAACGTTTTTTACTTCAGAACGCACGAATTACTTCGATTTTTTACTTGAAAGTACACAATACGTTTGCAATACGTTTGCACTTGTTTCTAAACAAAAAGTTTGTTTACGTATTGCCATAAATGTCAACGTCGGCAAAATCAAAGTAGCGGTTTCGGGAATGCGCCACCTTCAGTTCATTTCACCATGATTTACGCCTATATTGAATAACTTTTTTTGTAACAGTTTTTGGTCGATCGTTTCAAAGGCACGTTTTAAGTCTAAGAATACAGCTATTATATGTTAATTCATGCTCAGGTCTTCTTTCCAGTTAGCAAAAACCAGGTTCAAAACGCTTTCACAGTAATGCCTTTTACGGAAACCTGATTGTTGTGGTATAATAATCTTATTATTTTCCAAATATTGTACTAGTTGATTTTTAACCACTGTTTCAAGTATCTTTTCATCACAGGGCAATGTGTT